TTAGTCGCGGTCCGCCTCCCCAACCGGGACTAAAGGTCTGTGCTAGAACTGGCGCGGTGCGGTGGGATGTTTAGTCCCACCTCGCTAGCCGAGAGGCTTCGACAGTGGTTTATAAGCGCGGCTGCGCTCACCACTTCGAGCTCCTCTCAAATGCAGGCTTACGGGCCTATTCTGTCACTATGTGCCTGTGGGCCTACTCGGCCTTCTGCGGGCCTGAATCCTGGCCCTTTAATGGGTTTCTAGTCGTATTCAGGCCGTGGTGGCCCAGTAGGTGGCATATTTTCTTTTTTTCTTCCTTTTTTCCTTTTTCCTTTTTTCTTCTGTTTTTTTCTTCTGTTTTTTTCTTATGTTTTTCTTCTGTTTTTCCTTTTTTCTTCTGTTTTTTTCTTCCTTTTTCCTTCTTTCTTCTTCTTCCTTTTTCCTTTTAAAATCAGAAAAATAAAACTAATTCATTTTAAAATCTTAAAAATACAATTATATATCAAAAAAATCAGAAAAATAAAACTAATTCATTTTAAAACCCCTTGAAGGTTTGACAAAAGGTTTGATACATCATTCAGTTCATCGACCAAATACAAAGTTTGGTACAATAAATTATTACACATCAATTCTTCCCTTGTGTCCCTGCTTGCTTACGATTGTGTCGTATCCATGGAGCATCCTCATCATTTAACTTAATGCTTGGGTCAATGTTCACTTTGAAGGGCGGAATTTCACCAAACATATTATAATCTTCTGACATGTCTGTCTTGTCCTCCAATTATAGCTTGGCATGAAACCGTGCCGAAGCAGATGCATGTGAACATCTCTTGAGGAAGAGTAACCCTTCTGATTCTTACAGATAACACATGGACAGATAACAAAACCCCCCTGCTTGTTCGCATTAGCCACTACGAGGAAATCTTTCAAACCCGTAGTGAACTCGCCGGAGAGTCGGTTACCGTACATCCATTGCCGATTCATCTGCATTATTATAATATAAAATATATAATTAACCATCATGCATTTGTTAAACTAACTAGCTACAAACAATATAAATTAAACAATGAACTGCACACATGCATATTTTATCAATGACACACATGCATGAAAGGTTCAAGTTGCTAACCGCGATCGAGGAGGAAAAAATAAATGAGGAACCTCAAGTGTGGCTCCAACACTTCATATCATGTTTGTTTCACCCTCTTAGGGCATTTCATCAAACACCTTGTGTGCATAAGAGGAACCAAAAGCAAACCTACACCCCCTTGTGAAGCTTGTGAAGAGAAGTGGCACCAAATGGCTAAGTGAGCGTGCTGAACTGGTATATATAGGGGAGGAGCTTTAGTCGCGGTTGGCCTGGCCAACTGCGACTAAAGGCCTTTGCGAACCTTTAGTCGCGGTTGGCCTGGCCAACCGCGACTAAAGCCCCTCACGTGCACCAGCTGGCCACCGAGCGCCCTGGGCCCAGGCCTTTGGTCGCGGTTCGTCTGCCGAACCGCGACTAAAGACTTCATTAGTCGCGGTTCCTACAGTTTCGCGACTAATGGGGCTGGACGGAAGCCTCTTTTTCTACCAGTGCTTGTTTCGCCAGATAGAGCAACCCAACATCGTAGTTTCAGATGGAGCTTGTCTCTGATGGTTTACTTACTTTTTGATCAGCGTTCGTTAGTGTTTACTAGCACATATGCCCGTGTGTTGCACCGGGGAAGAAAATTGATTTGTCCACCAAAACTCCCATCTGCACAGCACGGTGGGGACACAGAGGCGCATGTCGAGGTATAAAATATATATACCATGCTTCAGTGTCTATTGCTACGGTGCATGCATATGTGACCATTTAATAAGTACGAACCGTTACCACTTTCTCTTTGATGTTGAGGAGTAACCTCCGGTTGGATAGTTAGAAGGGCAGTGGTACATTAATCCCATCAGAGATTAAACCCCGGATGTGACGCATTGGTGTCGCATAAAGACATAATATATATTTTTCAGTGGGAGACGATGTTCGCAATGTAGTGAGGTGCTTGTGTTCACTTACTCAATCTCACGACTCGGTAGCTCGGTCTCTCGGAGGTGTTCATAAGGGCATGATATGCGTGTGTGCATTCATAGGGTCGAGTATATGTGCGTGCCTGTGACGTGTGAGCATCTACGTCTGTATTGTGTTTATAAAAAAAGTTTTCTTTTAATCTTTGTGTGCATTAATAATATGTTTGTGCGTTGAACCGGAAGACGAAGAAAATCATGGCACATTTCTAGTGATTCATTTATGTTGCCATTTTTAATGTTCAGCACGGTCGTCAATAATGGTAGGAATTTTGTTGTTTGTAATGACAAAAATTGAGACACCATTCATGTCTCCGATGGTGCCTCCTTTAGCTTCCCGCTATCATTGGACGGAGTGAGATTTTTTTTAGTATTCTAATGCAATTTTCTTTCATTATTTGGACTTGGTCCAAACACAAGCATTTCGCGTATAAGGTTTTGTCCAAAAAAAAAAAGATACACACATCTCGTACCCCACATCCGTGCAACACCTTCACGGATTCACGCTTGTTGTAACACCCCAAGCTATTATTCCATTATTTGAAAATTATCTGTAAACACACTTGCAATTTGAATCCCTTCTGTTTCTATTTTTTAATTCATGCTCTATTCTTCATTACTCCAATTCAATTTGTGGAGCTTTGATATATTTCAGAGTGACCACATGCAAATTTTCAGCTCAATCAGAAAATGTTCGAGGTTTTCTCTTCCTCTCTATTTTGTTTTTTGTAAAATGGGAATGCGTAGTGGAGTGGGCCGGCCCAGTGAATAGTGCCAGCCGGCCTCAATTGGCCAAAGTGGGACGAACGGGCGCTAACCCTAGCGGGGAAGCCAGGGAGACCGTGTTTTTTTTTAAAAAAGCCAGGGAGATCGTTTCCTCAAAAAAAAAAACGCCGCAACGGCCCATTCCATTGTGCCCCGTCTCTCCTCTGTCCGGCCACCATCTCTCCTCTGGCGCTCCTCCTCGGAAATGCTCTATTCTTCTTGGTAGCCTTTGGTTTGGTGTGAACCACAATGGCACATTGTTCTAACTCCTTCCTTTGTAGCGCCTTCTTGTACTCGCGCGCTTTCTAGCCGCACCACCTTTTCTGGCCAGAAGTTAAGCAAGTTATGGGCAGCACGTATAGCAGGCGCTCCTTCAATAAATCACCCCAAAAAGGTGATTGAGAAGGTGAATTGATTGTATGTTTTATTCTTTCATGCCCCAATCGGGTCAACAGAAACCCGGAATGCATATCCCACGACACATGACACGGAACATTAGCAATAAAAATCCCACCCGGGATCACATGAGCAGAAGAAAACTAAGCGAACCGATCAGACCCTGGCCTGGACAACTGGACAATCAGACAGCTGGGTCAACAGAAAGAAGTCCCTTGCACCATTAGCGCAAAAACAACTGCAACCAGAAAGTTAAGCAGGCCATTGGCACGATTACGGCAATGACGACGGCTCGGACGGGGCGGGGCCGGCAGAGCGGACGAAGACAGAGGTGTCAGTGTCCTTGGAGGCCATGCTTACTAGGTTACCATCCGATACCTCGCCTAGATTCAGTTTGTTTAAATTTAGGTTGAACTTGTTAATTTTCGTCCTTTTGTTTTAAATATATCAAATTTTGTTAAATTTCATCCATTCACCTTAAAATTCATTCATATTTTGTTTTGTTCATTTGAAATGAGGTGGGTATTTGATGACTAAGACCATCAACAGCCGGGCGCCCCAAACCCGCCTCAAACGCCTGAACGGACGGCCCGGTCACTGACCGGCCACGAAAATGCGACCCAGATGGGCGCCCCAAGCGGGCCTCAAACTCCCAGGCTGACTGGCACCCCTCATATCTAGCCCAAATATGGAGCGGATATGGGGGCGCCCTGGCGCGTCCACCACATCGGTCCTGGTCCACTCGACCACACATATATTCCTCCCCATTCGCTTACCGGACCAAAATCTAGCCACTTCACTCCACTCCCCCTCCGCTCCTCTTGGTGATGGCAACACGATGAGATCAACGAGTAAGGTGTTGTGCGAGAGCGAGATGATGGGGAGATCCGACGGCATTAACCACCGAAATCAGAGTGTTTGAATGGAAGAGAACACGATTCGGGTTTCACCGAAAAAGATGGGGTTTGAAGAGGGGGTTGCCCTCGAAGTAATCGGCAAAGGGCAGGCAATAACTGCTCTCTCAATTGCAATTTAATGCTGAGCATGGCCCGGGATTGATCCCGTGAACCTCGATCGCTGCCTACCAATGTGGTCATTGACGACTAATGTAGCAACAACAAGCTCCTCATCGTCCGACGATGGATCATCCGATGAACAAATAAAGTTGTTAGAAAAATACTCATCCACACTATCCATGGTACCTTGCGAGCAAAGTGTCGACCACCTTGCGGTCATTGTGAAGACACGGCTGATGAAGAGCACCCGGCCTCTCCGTACAGGAAGCAGACCTGTAGAAGCGGAGATAAGGATGGCCGATGGCCTTGCAGCGTGAGACGGACGGTGTTGGGGCCGATGGGCGGACACCGGCGGCCGTGGTTTTTCTAGTACCAGCGGCGATGAGAAAGGCCACAAACACCGGCAAGAGCTCCTACGAAAAGCGGCAGGCAGGTCGGGGGATAGGATGGACCAAATATGGTCGTGCTTTGGAGTTGGCCTGACTACCCCAACCATAGGCCAGAAATATCCCATCTTTACAATGGGTAAAATATCCATGGATAAATATCCAACGGCTAAAACGATTCGAGCGCTAAGATGGGACGGCCGAAAACGACTCACTATGGGTTTTTTTTTCACCCACTATGGGATTTGAGCAGCTGCCTCTAGTAGGTTCTGAGTGAGCAGGCCAAGGCCGAAGTGGTAGAAGCCCATGGTCAGTCCAGCCGTAGAGCAGAGCAGAGCAGAGGTCGCTGCCAAAAACCCTATTTCCCAGCCGCCGCCGCCCCAATTTCCCCTCCACACAAGCACCGGCAATGGCGGCACCGCAGTGGCCGACTACGACGACTACGGCGTCGGCGTGCATCCCGGATACGGCGCGCGGCACGCACGTGTTCACGGTCGCCGGCTACAGGCTGCACAAGGGCATCGGCGTCGGCAACTTCATCCGATCTGCCACCTTCGCCGTCGGCGGCTACGACTGGTGCGTCTGCTACTATCCCGACGGATTCAGCGCTGAATACAAGGACTATGTTTCAGTCTGCGTCGAGCTCCAGAGCAAGAAGTCCGTGGTGAGGGCTCTCTACGACCTTAAGCTGACCGGGCTGTCGTCATTGATCTTCTCCCGGCCATCTTCTTTCCCGGCGTTCGACTCCTGCAAGAACGAGCATTTCAGGGGGGCTTACACGTTCATGAGAAGGGGCGTCCTGGAGGCATCCCCAAGAAAATACCTACAGGATGACTGCCTCGTGATCCAGTGCGATGTGACTGTTCTCCTCAAGAAAATACCGGCCGTGGCCACCACCACCGCCAAGACGCCTCACATCGAGGTGCCGCCCTCTGACCTGTCCAATAATCTCGCAAGGCTGCTTGAGGGGAAGAAAGGAGCGGACTTGGTGATCAATGTCAGTGGGGAGACCTTCTACGCAGACAAGATCGTGCTCGCGATGCGGTCTCCGGTCTTCAAAGCAGAGCTCTATGGGCCAATGGCAATGTGCGACACCCAGAAGCACTGCATTGAGGTTGTGGACATGCAGCCCGCCGTCTTCGGAGCACTGCTTCACTTCATATATACAGACTCATTGCCCGCCATGGATGGCCTCCTTGACAGCTATGACAAGAGGGAGGTGATGAGGCATTTGCTTGTGGCTGCAGACACGTATGCCATGGACAGGCTCAAGCTGATGTGTGAGGTCATCCTTTGCAAGGGTCTAGATGTTGAGAGTGTCGTCGCCACGTTAGCTCTCGCTGATCAGCATCGTTGCAGCAAGTTGAGAGACGCTTGCATGGGGTACATCAAGCTCTTCTGTTAGAACAGAGGAAATGTCTGATCGCCTGACCAGAGAGCATGTATTGCTGTCCTTATAGCTTATATATGTATGTATGTGATATGCACTGCCGTCCTTTGGATCATGTTGCCTTGTACTGAAGTCTTCACATATATTTGGGAGGAGTTGAGTAAGTTTATCAGAATTTATGTGGGCTAGACCTACCTATATGTGAATCCATGCTAGCTTGTTGTGCCTGTGCTGATATTTATCCTTATCTTCTTTCCTTTTCGTGCTCTTCTTTTTATTACTCAAATAAATCTGTATTTTAGCCAGGCTAACATCAACTAGATAGGCAACGCGCCTTGGCGCATGGTGCCTGGCTCAACCCATTATCCAAGCGTATAAACAAAGTATATATTATTGCGAGAAAAGTTGTCGAGAATGGATCAGTTTAATGCATAGAAGCGGAAAATTGCTTTTATAGATAACATGGTTGTGTCCAATACATGGCATATGCCCAGACAACACTAAAATGATCAGTGCAATCAGTCACACCAAATGCTCAACAGCATTTTGGCACCAAAAATAAAACCAACATGACAGGGCACACATAATATATATTTCAGGGGTAAAAAATGGCACACATAATATAGATAACTGAACCATCATATGAATTTCTAAAAGTAAGATGCTTGTGATAGTAATGGTTCAGTCATGATAGACGATTCGGATGACATGTCTTCCAAATGCCGAGGTCACAGAAATTGTAACATGGAGAGAAACGATATGTACTGTCCATCTACGACATATGTCAATAGCAGTGTATCATATAACTTTGCCTGAACATCTCGCTCGCTCGGGTGTTGTGACGAAGGACCTGCTGATGGTGATCATGTGCTCGCCCCGTCACGCCGATGTGGTAGGCCATGGCTAGCAAGCCTTGCCAGACTTGCTCGGGTGTTGTGATGTGAGGACCTGCCGATGGACATATCATGTCAGCAAAAGAATTCAGTGTGTTTTATTTATAGTGAGAATATAATTCACGCATCGACCTTCTCATAGCTTATTAGTACAACTCCACATGCCAGCCTAACTATCATCCTCGCCATCATAAACAAGTGGATCTCACCATTGCACTATGTCCGGCATCAAGGATCTATTTTTCTGAAACATCTCAATGTACACCTAGCATCAATTGGCCCAACAGTAGTGCTGCAAATAAAATGTGCCACTGTTAGAGCATGCCCCTATTTTTTACTCTAGCCAACAAATGCGGAAATATGGTAGTTCATATAGTCTTAGAGCTTAAATTAAAGCAGATTTTATTTTGGTACATAACCATAATATGGTAGTTCGTGCCAGAGTCTAATTCAGTCACCCAATGAGAATTGATATTTATAGAGAACCACAATATTTCAATAATATAAGTACTTTGACTAACAATGAAGATTACAGTTACAACCATACCATTCTGAAAACCCATATAGACTAACACAAGTGGCAAAAAATCTGGAATGAGATGGCTACATAGTACTCCAATTTTTTGAGTAGTGAATAGAAAAGACCACAGTACATGAAGACAGAGAAGCATGGAAACACATTTGTAAATTGGCAAACAGATTTTAGAGGCATATCCTTAATATTATCAATCAAAAGGTACATGGAACTGAAACGATACAAGAACATTTATATCCTAAGAGCTAGTTTCAGTTCCCATTAGATCTGAAACTCAACCAAACGCGTGATTCATGTCCAGAACAGCAAGCAGACTAACCAGATGTTTTCCCTGGACCTGCATTTCAGTCGTTAAGGGGTAGGTATGCCTTTCTCCTCTCCGGCAGATGGTGATGCGTCCCCCACCATTGCGAGCCTCCTCGTCGCTGGCCTGCGTCGCTGCGAAGGAGTGGTGGCAGCGGCTGTACCGCCTGTTGATTGCCGAGGAGCGGCGGCTGCCAAAGTCTAGCTGCGAGACGACAAACGAATCAGGAAAAGACACACAACAGACAGCTAGGAGATGACCGAACGAGAGCAGAGGAAAGACTACATGCAATTGTGAATAATTATTAAGGTTGTTCCAGATTCACCGAGACATGAAAAACCGGTACAGTAGTTTCTGATTTTCAGAAGACCTTGGTTATTTTCAGCTTTACGTTACCAAGGAAACCTACATGTACCTACTCTATGGGCAACCAATAATAATATATAGTACTATCTATCCATTTCCAGCTTTGTACAGAAACATCAGAACCATTGAATAAATACTGAAGCCACATACAAAAAAAGCATAGAAGATATAATAGACGACCGGAGCATTTTTCATGCTTGCCTTACCCTTGAGGCCACAAAAGCAGTCTTAAGCCCGAGCATATCAACAAAGGACTCGCAAAGAAGCTGAGAACCTCACCATGGCAAAGCTATACCATTTCGTCTGCTTCATATGGTGATGAACTGATGATTATGAGCTCCATACACACCGCCGCTCCGCCTTGATAATCTCCTTGTTATCCATAGCATGGCACCTCGCATCAAAGAAATAATTTTAGAACCTGTAAAACCATATTTGGAACTAAGGAGACCTAACATTTTGTAAGATCGGAGTCGTTGAGAGCAAGTTTACTATAGTAGCGACTGAAACTATATGCAAATGTGCAGGAAAACTGCGGTTGTCTCCTAAATTGGCTAAAGCTAAAGAGAATAATCCATACTTGTCCATGGACTCAACATGCTAGAACTAAATTGGCCAACACTCGATACACACACCCTTACCAGGGACAGGACCAGTATAAGCAAAACATAATTTTGCGACCAACTCGCCACCTCAGACCGAGTTCCTTAGTAGCTTGTAGCAACACAAGTTTTTAAAACATCTCTCTTAGCAACACCCAGTTCCCTTCCCCGAGTAAAGTTGGAGAGCATACCTCTGTTCGGCTTGAAGTTCTACTCCAACAGGTGAGCTAGCTGACAAAGTTGACTGAATAACAGGTCCAAAAATCTTTATAAGATCCAATAGCATTTCGAAAGCAACTATAGCATTCCTACAAATTTGAGGCGACATAATTAGAAGACACAATAGTTGCTGCTAAGCTAACCATTTTCTACAACAGGATGCCAAGATAAGCATTCATTCACCTATTGCAGGATAAGTATATGGGTCTGAACAACACAAGATGATCTTTCTATTTCAATAGTACAGATTTGCAAGAATAAATAGTATAAGTATGAACAAGAAAAAATACAAAAAAGAAAAATGAGCATGAACCTTCCACTCTCCTATATTATCTGAAAATCAATGTTGCCGAATCAAAACAGCGAGTCATTTTTTTCCTTTGGAGGACTGTGCATGCAGTCTATGGTTGTACTTAAGATACCTTCTATTTTTTTAACATTCAGCAAGACGGATAAACTTATTTCAGAAAGCTGCAATGGAAACTAAAATAGTAGTGGTGATTGAGTACAACTTAGGATGTACTTTAGGAGATGCTGAAAGTTATAGCACTATTACATATAGCTCGAGTCTTGCAGGGAAACAAAAAGAGGGATATTGCTGCGACATAAAACCCTACAGGAGTAAGAAAGCTTTCTTATTCATAAATAATCCATTCCCATTCGTATCACACTTAATAGGATTTGGAGCCTACTATAATGCAAATGTAAATTAATTATCACAATGCAGGGGAAAACCATTGCGTTTCAACGGATACAAATGTTTTCACTTGTAATTAAATCATGAACATTAATCATACAGGACATGACACCAAACAGAACTATCCTTGGACTCATGAAAATAGTTGTGAATACTGAACCTGATGTACAGTATAATAGAACCACAGCCGCATGTTCATGTGTGCATAAGAATAGCAATAAAATTTGTACCCAAAGAGAAAAGAAAAAAAATCATGTATTCGAGTATATACTAATACAACGCAGGACAATCAGCTAACATGATAACATACAATTGTCCATGAGCATACCAACAGAGACAGGACAATCAGCTAACATGATAAGAGTAGGATAGAACACAGGCCCTCCTGGCATATAAACAGAGACGGCCATTTCGTTCCAATCCATGGTATTACCAAAGACATATATACATTCAGACCAAACAACTCCAAATTAAAAAAAAATATTACCATGTTGCAAAAGAAAAGACCACGACAGTAATAGCACATTTCAAAATGCCCCAGCTGAGGCACACCTCAGGCAAAACAGGAAGACGATGCCTGCCCGATATCTGCCATAGCAAACAGTAAAGAAAAACAAATGTTTTGGATCAGTTGGTCTCTTGCACGACACATACATTGGTCTCCACCCCTCCAAGCACAGATCCATCGTGTCACTCACGAACATATGAACGAAAAGGCAGTTGGCAGTAAGAGCCTCGAAAAGAGGCACAAACGACTAATGCAAGTAAAAGATGCATGTGACAAATTAAGGAATAAAAGAAAAACACCCCAACAGACCCAGATGGGGGAAAATGGCAGTTTGAAAAAGATTAGAAGGACGCAGGTATATAGATACCAAAATACAGGGGAAAGAGCATGGCTCGCCTGAAGACGATAAAAAACAACAACACAGACCAACCAACAACACAAAGTCCTGAAATAGAAAGATGTAGCAGAGTCAACCACAACAAACATCATAATCAAAGCAAATAAGAAATCTTAGAACCACGAGCGAGGCAACCGAACAATTACCAGTATATCAACATAGGTAGCATTCAAATCGCAGCAAGCAGAGTATCAGAAAACAAAAGAATCGACCAGAACAACCAACAGCAAGGCACCTATGTCTCATATATAATTAGAAACTGGAAACTTGGAGCTGATACGATAACCAAATTAATAAACAACAACACAGACCAACCAACAACACAAAGTCACTAGTAGAAAAAGGGTCAAATGTGAGACACATTAGTCCCGGTTTGTAACAGAACCGGCACTAATGTGTCCATTAGTGCCGGTTTCAACGGCTAGGCAGGAGGAGCTCTTTAGTACCGGTTCATGGCGAACCTTTAGCACCGGTTCGTGCCACGAACCGGTACT